GTTTCTGGTTTCAGAGAACACAAAACTAGTCTGTTCCTTTTTACCTGCTCTAATCCCTCCTTTTTTCACATGTCTGGCACCCTCACCCCTCCACCTTTAGGCTGCCTAGGGAAACAGCACACAGTCCTTACTTTCTAGATTCGCTCTCTTGGCCTGCTCCTTGTCCATCAAAGTCAACCCCCAAGGCTCTGCCTCTATAGCAAAAGAGCCCCAAATGCAATTCTTTCTCTGAGATTCTGGGACCAGATTTTTTTTTAATTGCTGTTTATTGAAAGTTAACAAAGAGATTGTTTTTCATTCATTCATGCATACATATTTTCCTCCCTACTTCTTTCTCTTCCAAATCAGTTTGTAATCTTTGTCCTACTCCAGATTGTTAATTATCGTACGTATACTATCCAACCACCCATTCCTTTCAGATTGTCCTTCCCTTCACCTTTTCCAGTGAGGTATTAATTATCTAGTCATTCTTTCCCCACTCTCATTCCTCCAACCCTAAACGTCCATTTTATTTTATAACAGTGGTCTTATGTTGTATTTGTCCTTTTATGTCTGAGATACTTCAGCATTATGTCTTCTAAGCTCATCCATGTTATGTAGTATTTTACAAGTTCACTGTTTTTCAATGCTGTGTAATATTCCATTGTGTGAATATACCATAGTTTCTCTATCCATTCATTTGTTGATGGGCACTTGGGCTGCTTCCATCTCTTTGCTATTGTGAATAATGCTGCAATAAACATGGTGTTGCTGTTTGTATCATAAATATATCTGTGCATGTCACAGCTTTGATTTCTATATCAGATATTTTTTTTAAATAGACAATGTAAGCTCAAAATGGCATCATTTAAAATGTAAAAAAAATCCTTAGAAAATGAAATCTTTATCCCTGTTAGAGAACTCAGAATCCAGACCCTGTTCCCTTACCTTTTAGTAGTTTCCTAATCTCTCTAGAGACATACACATCTTTTTAAAAAAACCACAAAATTAAATATTTTTGTGTTTGCCTTTTTCTTTCCTCTTCCCTCCCTTCCCTCTTTCCTTCCTTCTTTATTCTTTCGTCTCTTCCTCTAACGAGTTAAAGCATCTCATATTGTTAAATGTCTTTCTTTAGCTTAAAATCAGTACAGACTTTACATTTAAGGGTACTTGTAGATATTTTCTGTTCTCTTAAACAATGATCTCCAAGCCTTCTTTGCTATATAATCCTATCATTAAAAATTGCTGAAGACATACAATTTATATACTTACCGTATTCTACTCACAGATCTGCTGGTGACACAATGGTGAAGTGCACGCCTCATAAGCAAATGAACTGTGATTTTAACCCACCAACTGCTCTGCAGGAGAAAATCCCTGTGATATGTTCCTGCAAATATTACAGCCTAGGAACCCTGTGGGGCACTTCTATTTTAACATTGAATGCCACTGTAGTAAAAATATGGCTCAAGGGCACACAGTGATAACAAAATATAGACACAATACATAGAGGGAAAGTAAAGAGATCTGAACTGAATGAAATCAGGCACAAAGTGAGAAATCAAATGAACAAACTCAATATAATTTTTGCAACAAGAACAGGATGTGCCTTTTTTACAATTTTTAAAAAATTTTATTTTATGAATTTTAATGAACATTTACAGAGATTTTGAATATCCATTCATTCATTGGTGCACTTTTCTCCCTCACCACCCCTCCCCAGTTGGCTCCTCTCTTTGAAAAGTAAAAGAAAAATTCTTTCATTGCTATACAATCCCCCTTGCAACCCACCCCCACCTCCCCAAGTACACTCCACTATGCAGCCTTAATTCTGGATGCTTGTGATAACCATAATACCCTATCATATATCGCTTTTAAACTGTTCTCTCCCTCATCTGTTTCAATGCAGTATACATAATTTATCCAGTTTTTCTCAGTCTTACCCTACCCTGATGTCAGTCCCATTCTACAACAGTGGCACCATGCAGTATTTATCCTTTTGTGACTGAGATATTTCACTCAACATAATGTCCTCCAGGGTCACCCATTTTGAATAATATTGCATGAGTTCCTTGTTTTACAATGCAGCATAGTATTCCATTGTGTGACTATACCACAGCTTCTTCATCCATTTGCTTGTTGATAGGCACTTAGGTTGTTTCCAACTTCTTGCTATTGTGAACAAAGCTGTGATAAACATGGGTGTGCATATATCTGCTTGGATGTCGGTTGTGGTCTTTTTAGGGTATATTCCCAGTAGTAGAATTGCTGGGTCAAATGGTATCTCTATTTGCAACTTTTTGAGAAAGTGTCACACCACTTTCCACAGTGGTTGCACCATTTTACACTCCCACCAACAGTGAATAAGGGTTCTAGTTTCTCCACAACCTTGCCAGCATTTATTGCTTGCTGTTCTGTTAAATTTTGCTATTCTGCTTGGGTTAGATGATATTTCATAGTTTTGATTTACAACTCTATTAGAGCTAGGGATTTTGAACATTTCCACCTGAATGTCTTCTTTGGTGAAGTGTCTGTTCATATCCTGTGCCCATTTTTCTATTGGATTATTTACCTTTATCTTGTTGTGGTGCTCAAGTATTTTATAAATTCTAGATATAAGTCTCTTATCTGACATGTCATTGCCAAATACTTTTTCCCAGCCTGTGGCTTCCCTTTTTAACCTGTTGGAGAAGTTTTTGGATGTGCATAACGATTTGATTCTTAGAAGTTTCCATTCATCTATTTTATCTTCTCCTGGTTATAGATTTTTCAGGGTAGTTGGGAGACTGTTTATGTTATGGATTAGGACTACTAGAGTTCTTCCAAGCTTTTCTTTAATGAAGTTTATAGTCTTTGGTTTTAGTCCTAGGTCCACGATCCACCTTGAGTTAGTTTTTGTATATGGAGTGAAGTATGGATCTTGCTTGAGTCTTCTGCAGATATTTTTCCTATTTAGGCTTTGCCTTTTAAAATTCATTTCTCCAGTGAGCTAAATCATGAGTGAGGCGTGACTTGGAAAAGATGTAAGCACATGGTGCACAAGTTGGAGAGATAGTATGCTTTAATTTCAAAGTGACAGGATTCCTTACTTGCAAAATTACTATTATATGCATATTCATAAAGACATTTTGATGCCATGTGATCCCAGAGTGTTTCATTTTTTGATGTTTTATAAAATTAAGTTATTCCTTATTTGGCCAACAGATGTAGAGTGTTTAAAGTCCACATTAACAATAAACTGAAAAACTCATTCCCATTAAATCACTATTAACTCATAGCTGGCCTTCTACTAGGATTGTGAGGCTGTAAATCGCACAGGAGGAGAATGCCCATCTTTCTTCCATGGAACCTCTGTGAATTTGAACTGCCAGAGAAACAAGGCTTTTGGATTAGCAACGCAATTCCCTATGGACTATATCACCAGAACGCAAATGTGTTACTTATATAGCTTGTACAATTATTTTGGCCTGTGGAAGCAGGAGTGGCATCCACTTCCTAAACAACATGCCTCTGGAAACTATGAACTTTTATAAATGACAATCGTTATAAAAAGGCTTCAGGCCTTTTGTTCATAGAGTCACTATAAGTCGTGCTCAACTTGAAGGCAATCAACAACAATCTTAAAAGTGTGTGCATATCAAGATTAATTAATTAATCCAGATTCTTAAAAAGGCAAAAATTCAGTATGTTTTTCTAAATGAAATTCTCAGCTTATCCTGAATTGGTGTCATTACTTTATATATTATTTATATTTCAAAGAAATTCCACGTTAACTTTCATGCTAAGACTTTAAAAATGGTGTCTTCCCCATCACTATTAAAATGTCACCCATTCCTATGAGATGATGCAGCAGTTATTATCCTATAATATCAACCAATCAGTTTCATGTATACAGTGTAATAAACCCTTTTGTTATTGTCAAGCAAGATATTATAATTTTGCTCCTTAAGTGTACTTTTCATCTACTTTGAGGTAGAATTGTTGTTGTGGTGTTGTGTACCGTCGAGTCAGAAATGATCCACAGCTGACTCTCCAGCAGGTTTCCAGAGGCAGTTAATTGCGTGAGAGGAGATTACCCATCATCCTCCCTCAGAGAAGCTGGCTGATTGGAACTGCATGCCTTTAAGCTTGCAGTGCAGTTTCTTACCACTAGGCCATCAGATCTCCAAGACACCAACATCCCCTTATCCATTTTCTTCTAAAACCATTCTTTCCATCATTTAAGTTAAACTCTGTAATTCTTAAGCATACACAATATTTTTTTAATTAATTTTCATGAATGTTTACAGAGACTTTGGATTTCCATTCATTCATTGTTGCATTTTTCTCCCTGCCCACCCCTCCCCCCTAGTTCGCTCTTCTCTTTGAAAAGTAAAAGAAAAATTCTTTCATTGGTATACAATCCCCCACCCCCACCCCCAGTACACTCCACTATGCAGCCTTCTCTCTGGACTTCTATCATGACCATAATACCCAATCATATATTGCTTTTAAACAGTTCTCTCCCTCATCTGTTTCAATTCAGTATACATAACTTATCTAATCTTTCTCAGTCTCACCCCAACCCTGATGTCAGTCCTGTTCTACAACAGTGGCACTATGCAGTATTTGCCCTTTTGTGACTGAGATATTTCACTCAGCTTAATGTCCTCCAGGGTCACCCATTTTGAATAATATTTCATGAGTTCCTTGTTTTTCAGGGCCGTGTAGTATTCCAGAGCTTCTCTATCTATTCCTTTGTTGATGGGCACTTAGGTTGTTTCCAACTCTTGGTTATTGTGAACAAAGCCATAATAAACATGGGTGTGCATGGTTTCTTTAGGGTAAGCATATGCAATATCTTTTAAAGTTAATTTTACATGAAAAATCTCCCCACAAAAAAGCTCATTTGTTTCAAAGATTATCTTTATTGAATGAGAAATATTTTACTTTTTTCTTATTTATATGACATTTTCGATTTAAAAACTTTCATTTCAAAACTTAAAAACAAAGTTTTCTTTTAGAGAAATAATCTATTTCTTTTAAATAATCCACCCTTTATCAAAAACAAATCGATTGATCATGTCAAAACATCTCAGAGGCTGGTCATAGGGCAAAATATGTCCTCCACCTCGAACAATTACCTTAAAGAAAAAGGTATACAAACTTTGTAAGTAAAACAGTATAAAATTTTAAAAAAAGAAAAAATTAAATACTAATAAGAGGAAAAATATTCATTTAAAAGGATGAGTTTTAAATATACAGAACATTTCTTTCCGATTATAATCTATGTAAAGCTTACATGAAATACAGAGCATCTTCTACTAATCCATGCCTCAGGACTTTTCTTGCTTTTGATAGCTTTAATTAAAACAGAACAAAACACCCCACTAACCCCATTGCCTTGAGTTAATTCTGACTGATATTGACCCTACAAAACAGAATAAAGCTGCCCCAAAGAGTTTGTAAGGTAGCTAGCTAGTGGGTTTGAACTGCTAATCTTTTGGTTAATAATAGAGTACTTGATCGCTGTGCCAACCTTACTGTAGTAAAGTGATAATTTTTCTAGTTATGTATGTCTTTCATCTGCTCTCATCTGTCAGTTACTTTTATTTAAAAACCAACAAAGCAACAATAAACAAACACACAAATTGAGACAGACTAGGAAGAAGGATTGACTGTCCACTTCCGAAATGAGAGGCCTTCGAAAACCCTATGTCCAATAGAGCACACTTAGACTGGCAGAGATGGCAATTGAGACTGAGATCTTAGAAATGGAAAACACAAAGGAGGAGGAACAGCTCTAAGCAGACACTAGTGATTGGAATGTGGAATGTGAGAAGCATGAATGTAGGAAAATTGGAAATTGTAAAGAAAGAAATGGAATGCATAAATATTGACATACTAGGTATTGGGGAAATGAGATGGCTTGGCATGGGACATTTTTAATCAGATGATCATATGATCTACTATGCCAGGGATGAAAAGGTGAGAAAAAATGGGGTTTATTTCATAATTTTAAAAAGTCTTTTCTAGATCCATCATGAAATATAATGTGGTAAGAGACAGAATAATATCCATACACATACAAGGAAGTCCAGTGAATACCACTATCATTCAATATATACACCAACAACTAGAGACAAAAGAGGAAGACATGGAAAAATTTTACCAACTTTTGGAATCAGAAATTGCTCAAACATGCAGTCAAGATGCATTAATAATAATGGGCATCTAGGGCATCTAGAATGCAAAAGTTGGGAACAGAGAAGGATCAGTAGCTGAAAAGCATGGAGTTGGTGAGAGAAATGAGGCTGAAGATAGAATGATAGAATTCTGCAAATTCAATGATTTATTCATTGCAAATACCTTTTTAAATTATCAATTTGAATGAAAATTGAAAGAGACTTTGGATTTCTATTCATTCATTGTTGTACTCATTGCAAATACCTTTTACTAAAAACACAAATACAGGCTATACACATGGATTTCACCTGGTGGTATGCATGGGAATCAAATAGATTACATTTGGTGAAAGACTCATGGAAGAAGCTCAACATCAGCTGTGAAATCCAGGCCAGGTGCTGGTTGTGGGACAGACCACCAACTACTCATATGGAAGTTCAAGTTGAAGTTGAGGAAAATTAAATCAAATCTATGGGAACCAAAATTTTACCTTAAGTCTGTCCCACTCGAATTTCAAAACCATCTCAGGAACATGTTTGAGGCCTTGAGCACCAATGAGCATAGACCAAATGAGCTCTGGGAGGATATTAAAAAAATCCTCCATGAAGAATATAAAAAGATCATTACAAAGGCTGAAGAAGAAGAAAAGATCAAGATGGATGTCAGATGAGATTCTGAATATTGCATTATAGTGCTGAGAAGCCAAAGCCAAAGGAAGAAATCAAGAAATCAAAGAGCTAAACAGAAAATTTCAAAAGGCAGCTCGGGATGACAAAGCATGATACTATAATGAAATGTGCAGAGAGCTGGAGTCAGAAAATCAAAAGGCTCAAACTCACTCAGCACTACTTAAGCTGAAGGAGTTGAAAAACAAATCCAAGCCACGGGTGGCAACACTTAAGGATACTGTGGGTAGAATGTTAAATGATCCAGGAAGTATCAAAAGAAGATGGAAGGAGTACACAGAGTCACTGTATCAGAAGGAATTGGCTGACACAGAGGAATTTCATGAAATAACATATGAGCAAGAGCCTATGGTGATGAAGGAGGAAGTTCAATTTGCTCTGAAGGAATTGGCAAAAAACAAGTCTCCAGGAGTTGACAACATACCAATTGATTTATTTCAACAAACGACGCAGCCCAGGATGTGCTCACTAAGTTGTGCCAAGAAATCTGGAGGACAGCCAGCTGGCTGACTGAATGGAAAAGATCGATATTTGTTCCCATTCCAAAGAAGGGTGACCTAACAGAGTGTGGAAATTATCAAACAATAACATTAATATCACATACAAGCAAGATTCTGCTGAAAATTATCAAAAAAAGTTTGGAACAATATGTCAACAGAGAACTGCCAGATGTGCAGGATGAATTTAGAAAAGGTCATGGTACTAGAGATATTATAGCTAATATTAGATGGATCTTGGCAGAAAGCAGAGAATACCAGAAGAATGTGTATCTGTGCTTAATTGACTATGCAAAGGCTTTTGACTGTGTGGATCACAACAAGCTATGGCTGACTCTATGAGAAGAATGTGAATCCCAGAACATTTGATTGTGCTAATGCGAAACCTATACTTGGACCAAGAGGCAGTCGTCAGAACAGAGCAAGGAGACATTACATGGTTCAAAATCAAGAAAGGGATGTCTTTTGTCTCCATGCCTTTTCAATCTGTATGCAGGACAGATCATCTGAGACGCTGGGCTGTACGAGGAGGAATGTGGCATCAGAATTGGTGGAAGAGTCATCAACAACCTGCATTATGCAGATGACACAACCCTGCTTGCTGACACTGAGGAAGACCTGAAGTGCTTGGTGCAGAAGGTCAAGGACTGCAGCCTCCTATATGGATTGAAGCTCAACATCAAGAAAACAAAGATTCTCACCACTGGGCCAATTGGCAGCATCAGTATGGATGGTGAAAAGATTGAAATAGTTAACAATTTTAGGTTTTTTGGCTCCACAGTCAACACTCTTGGTACCAGCAGCCAGGAAATCAAGAGATGAGTTGCACTGGGAAAGTCAGCTGTCAGGGACCTCTCACGAGTACTGAACAGCAACGATACCAGGCTGGAGACCAAGGTGTGCCTGATCCGGGCTATAGTCTTCTCAATTACACGCTATGCATTGAAGAGTTGGACAGTGACTAGGGATGATAAAAAAAGAATTGATGCCTTTGAGCTGTGGTGATGGAGAAGTGTTGACTGCATGGACTGCTAGGAGAACAAACAGGTTTGTCCTGGAGAGAGTGAAGCCAGACTGCTCCTTGGAGTCAAGGATTCTGAAGCTTTGTCTGACATACTTTGGGCATGTTGCAAGGAGGGACTGGTCCTTGGAGAGGGACATCATGTTTGGGAGAGTGGAAGGACGGAGCAGGAGAGAAAAACTCTCTATGAGATAGATCAATTCTGTAACTGGGGTAGGGGAAGTGAGTGTGTCAGAGACAGTGAAGTTGGCACAGGATAGAGCAGGGTTTAAGGCTGCTATACATAGGGTCGCTATGAGTTGCAAGTGCCTCAACGGCACATAACAACAACAACAACATTTAATTGAATACAAAGTTGTATTCATCTTTCGTATGTGTAAGACTTGAACATCATTCCTCAGTCTTTTCCTCCTTGGAGTGAATTGCTTGCTCTTCTGTGCAAGCTTTAAATATTTCTTAGGTAGGACCAATAGGCACCTCATGATAGATGGAGAGGAGATTGAAACTGCCAACAACTTCATCTTACTTGGATCCACAATTAACACCCTTGGTGCCAGCCATCAGGAAATAAGGAGACATATCTTACTGGGAAAGTCTGTTGTTAGGGACCTCTCCCAAATTATTTAGGAGTAATGATGCCATTTGAGGACTAAGATGCATCTGATTCAGGCCATGGTATTTCCAACCACTATCTATTAATCTGAGAGCTGGATGGTGAATAGAGATGACAGATGAATTTTTTCCTTTGAGCTGTGGTCTTGAGCCCACTGAAAATCCTGTGGACTGTCAAAAGAACAAACAAATATGTCTTGGAAAGAATGTAGTCAGAGTGCTCTTTAGAGGTAAAGATAATGAGGCTTCGCCTCACATACTCTGAACATGTTGCCAGGAGGGGCTATCCCTTGGAGAGGGACATGATGCTGGGAAGGATGGCATGTCAATGAAGGAGAGGAAGATCCTTGACCAGGTAGATTGACACAGTGACTGCTGCAATGAGCTCCGGTGTGTCAGGAAGTGTGAGGATGGCACAGGATAGGACGACGTTCAGATCTTTTGTTCGTAGGTTAACTCTGAGTTGTATTTGACTCTACAGTACTCAACAACAGCAAGCAAGAACTCTAGCTTCCCACCCATTTCTTCATTCTTTTTCTTAAGTTATAGTTTGTTATTTTGGTTAAAATATACACAATAAACAGAAGCAATGCAATAATCTCCACAGGTATAATTCAGTGATTAATTATATCTTCAAAGTGTGCAAATTATTCCTTTCCAAATTATTCCATGTCCTGTGCCAGAAATTCAGTGCACTCAAGGCAGAAACTCCCTCTTCCCACTACCCTCTCCATCCTGGCCATGTAACTACTAATAATCTCTGGTTTTTATATATTTGAAAGAGATCTCTGATGGACTAGTCTGTAGAAAATTGTGCTTCAAACCCCAAAAGATGCACCTCTCTGGATATTTAAATCTATCAAGCCCTCTGCAGAAAAATATAGGCATTCTCCTCTCATGTCATGTGATTTACATCCTCAAAAATTCAAAGGAGAGTCCACTACAAGTTGGTTCTGACTCAGTGACAATGGGACAGGGAAAAGAGTGAGGGACCTGAGGGAGGTGGGGAGGGAAAGCAAGAGGGGATGTGGGGGGATAGGAAAAGGAGAGAGAGAGAAGCAGTGTATACAAATTCACATAAGAGAAATCACACAGAGCTTGGCCTTTGTGACTTATTTCACTCAGCATAATATTTTTTAGTA